AATTCATCAGCAGATATAAAAAAATATGAATTATAATTTCCATATCATGAATCCTTACGAATATCAAGAGTTACAATTAATCCGAAGATAAACTACAAATTAAGAGCACAAAAAGCACACTAGTGTCTGCACTTATGGTAATATTCTATGACAAACTTTCTTTGCAAATCAGCATAATATTTTAGTGGTCTCTGGTCTCTAATTAATTAACCTTCAGTATTTAAAACAAACAGTACACCGAGCAACCAAAAAAAAGGGGATACAGAGGGGGAAAAAAAAAATAGAAACCAGGCATAAATGGAGAGAAAAGCTCAAAAATATGTATCGAGGAAGCCATCATTGCCTGGGTAAATCAACCATGAGTGCTTGGTTTTTAATAAATTCTTTAACAACTCCACTAATCTTTAAATTAGTACAATTAATAGTATGATCATTTCATCCCCATTAAGTTTTGTTACTCAGTGCCCTATGAATTTAACTGTCTGCCATATATTCTCTCCCATTCTTATTATAAAGTATTTTAATTTGTTCTAGAATTTCACATAAGATGTTCTTTTAATTGAAAATAAAATTTTAAAAATATATTTATCGTACAAAATATTTTTAAAGTTTTGTTTTCAATTGGAAGACATACCAGATAAAATTTTAGAACAAATTAAAATGTTTTAAAATAAAGATTGGAGGGAATATCAAATATCCTTAATGATCCCAAATATATTCCACAACTTCATAAAGATCATCCTTGACCAAATCTTATAGTTGCCCAATCCAAATCGTGCTTTATGTTTTGCCAAAGTGAGGGTATATATGGACTATGGATAAGGAGAGTATAACTAAATAAAATAATAATGAGATATATATAGTCACGTTGCAAATTGATAGAAGTTAATTGGTGACATGAAACAGAAGCCACATTACACGCCGAGTGCATTTCATATGAATAAAAAAGTATAAACTGTGATTTTGAAACCTGACACGTAATATTTGAACGGAAAAAAAACAGTATAAATTTGAATTAAAAAAAAAAGAGAATAACATGTGATTCAACTTCAACGATGCGAATCGATCAAAAGCAGCAAGATTTTCAGGAGATATGCCTGGCCTTGTTGCTGTGACTGAAAACCGAATAAAACGTGCTATAATGACCTTATAAAGAGGACATATTTATTGCCTCATTTTATTTGTAGGAATATTGATCCGTATCGATGATGTGTACGCTTGGATTTTGCCCGGACACTTTTCATTAAAAAAAAAAATGGTAAAGAAACTGTTCCAAAATGTGTCCTATGTTTTGATTGGAGTATGATGTGATCGGAGTAGCATATCCCCAAAATGTGCTTGTATGATTGTTTTTAAGCCGTTGTCTCTATTCCTGTACCTGAAAAAAAGAGTTTTTCATTCGCATACGACTCATTTTGATTTTAATAAGGTGGAGGGAACAGATTAATTTAATCACCTTCTTCTGAAACATTTGTAAACATATGCTGTGATCTAGCTCAACATATATTCTGACATAGTTCACGTAATAGCTAGGACTTTGGGAGAGGCAGTAATAACATCAAGAAAAACCTAAATTCCAATTCATCATGCTTATTTTAGATTTCAGACTTTCAGTTTTTAAAATGGCGTGTCAAAGACTTCAATTTTATGTCTGCAATACTGCGCAGTTCGTGGACACAAACTATTATTAACTTACTAACTTTATCAACACAAAATACATTTTAAAAAAATAAATTATCAATACGAAACACATAAAACATGTAAGAGGAAGAAGAAGAAGAAGAATGCCAATACCATCACCTAATTTACCAAACTCTGTGCCCAAAGAGTGGTTCAACCCAAATTAGTCACATTCCTCGAGTAAAATCTGAATCCAAATTCTAGTTGATAAATGAACCATCCCATTAGCAACTAATGCTCTCCAATGGGCTTAGTCCACCAACCCAGTCTATAACAACATTGATGGAGTTTTGAAACCCAAGGAGAGATAAGGCAAAGAAACCCAACCCATTATAACCTCAAACACTCCGACATTTCCGATTTGACATTTTAAAAAGAGCACTCAACTCAACAAATACAAAACATAAATAAATAAATAAATAATAAAAAATGGTTTACCTAAAAAAATAAAATAAAATCATGGTTTACATTGAGATTGATATAAAAGATCTTACTTTATGTATCCATGAGGATGGGTACATGATATGACACAAATTTAGATAATGGCACAATAAAAAGAAGGAAAAAGAAAATTAGATACCGAATTATCGATGAAAAATTCCTAATTCTTGTTTATGTTTATAAGATAAGATATTATTCAAACTATATTGACTTTTTATTGTTATGTATGAATATACCAGAAAAAATATTACTCATTCTATTTTAAAATATAAATTACTTTATACTTTGCACGTAGACTAAAAAAAACAATCATTCAACAATTCATTTCTGAGTTAAATATCGATTTTACACTTCATTAATTACTTCATTTATTATATTAGAACTATAAACAAGACTTAATGAAAGGAGTTGGTAATTTGACATTATTTTTTGAGGTAAAGTTGAAAAATTAGTCATTAATTTACTTTGAAATGTAAAAATGATTTGCGTTTTAAATTTTTTTTCCAAATCGCAAAACGATTTATATTTTGAGGCGGAGGACTACCTTGTTACGATGAAGGGATAAGTTATTATTGTAAACAGTGGACAAAATAAATATTTTTGGCAGAAGTATGTTGATGTGGGATTAGTTATCATTTCCAATGCGGATCTTCTTGAGAAATGATATTTTGTGCAACTACTAATTAATAAAGAAAAAGAAAAAGTTGTCTTGAGCAAAGCACAGTAAGAAAAGTGTGTGTGGCAGCTAAGTCAAACCTGAATGATTCTGGAAATGTGCTACATTCCAAACATGTCCTTATCAAGTCACTTATCTGTCCCAACACCTTACCTCATCAACCTCCACTTTGTCGTAATTTCACATCCCCCAACGCCCGCCCATATGTTTTCTTTACCCTTTTTGGGTTAATTTAATTCCCATTTCACCCAACGCACAAAATAACAGCAAAAATAAACCCAAAAAAAAATCACAATTAATTAGTGAAAATCATAGGATTTGGCGGGATTTCTCTTTCTCTAATTGATATCTCAACTCAAAAAACACCCATTTCTCTCTCTCTCTCTCTCTCTCTCTCTCTCCTTCTCTTTCTCTCTCACACACTCGCACTGTAAAACTAAAGTCTCCCTGACACTCTGACATAAACAACACTAGCTCATCAGCTCACCTCACACACACACACACACAAACACACATTCACAGACTGTGATTCGAATTTCCGGCATTAAATAACTAGAACCCATTTTTTCCATTTTTATTGGTTTAGGCTTAATCAGTTTAATCTTACCGTCTTCTCACGCGATCGCGCACTACCAGTTTCCCCATTCTTCCCAGCAAAGACTCTTGCTTTCTGTTTTTTTTTTTTTAATTCGGAATTTTTTTAAGCTGTGCACTCTACTTCAGTGGAGACCCAGATCCAAATTAAGGTATCCAATCTAGCTACTGCGTACCTTATTACTGAAATGTGCTTCTTTCCCCTGTTCTCTGCATAATTTTCTTGAAGAAATGCTGGGATTTTTTCGTTTCTGATTGATTTGATTCGAATGTGACTGTTGAACTGTGTAGGAATTTTGTTGGGTTTTTTCTTCTCTTCTTTAGAGTTATTTGTAAGAAGTGGAATCTGAGTGTACTATTTTGGTTGGTGGATTTATTTCGTCTTTGTTTTTGCCTTCAAGTCTTTCTATTAGACAAACATTAATAAGCATTTTTGGCGTCTTGCTAAAGGAAATTGACAAAAACACCGTGCGTAAATAACGGGGGCAAGTAAAATGAAAAATTTGTTACTAAATTGTCTACTGTTTTTTTCCTTTTTATAATTTTTGTTTTTTGGGCGAAGCTTTTCTTCGTGAACTGTAGGGATGCTGGGCATCTTTGCTGAATCTACTCAATCATTTTACTGTTAATCAGAATTTTTTTTTTCCCCCTTTTCTTATATATGGTTATTGTCTTTTGGAATTTGAAAGAAACCTCGTTTGTTCTGTAAAGTTTCGGATTTTCAAAGGTTGTTGTGGATTCAGTTTTGGAGAATACCTTTGTGGGGTGAATTCGAAATTGTGATCTTTGTCGTCTGCAGTCTTCATTGTTCTTAGTATTCTTCTGAAATTTGAAGGTTTGGACTGGGATCAAATCTGTTTGGCTGGTTGCTGCCAGCGTTGGTACCATTTGACCCAAGGTACTTTCTGATTCTTGTTCTTTTGTTGTTATTCCGTTAATGGAACTGGCTCCTGTGAGCACTGACATTTGTGGATATTATTATTTTCCTTTTTTAAGATCAGTTTCTGTTAGGAACTCTTTCTGGAATTTGATTTGCCTTTCTGTCGTAGTTCAGCTTCCAGTATGATTGGCTTATTAGATGCTAACTTAGACAATTAGTTTGAGGACAGTTTCCCTCTTTTTTGTCAGCCTTACAAATTCATTCTGATTCCACCTTTTTCTTTTTTTTCTTTGGCTAATATGCTTTTGAAAATGAAATGGTCGCATATGAAGAATTGATGTTGAAGCTTATTGCTCAACTGCTGAAGATGATGCGCTTTATCTTATTCTGTTTATAGGGATGCTGAAGCTCAATTTAATACGTGATGCTTATCGCCTTTAATACTAATAATAGGATTTCAGTTGAGGCTTGGATGCTTGTTCTGCCTTTCTATCATACTTAGTCTTTGTAGGCTCATTTGCTATCTGCCCTCTAATGTGATGTTGCTTTATGCACACCTTATTCCTTCATCTCTTTTGTAAATTCTTCTTTGTTCACAGCAAAATAGTTGTAGCCGTAATTTCTGTTTGCATACAACAACTTTGCAGGTGCCTCTATGGTTGATATTGTCAGAAAATAGCTGTGGATTGTGGCAATGTGCAACTGATGGTACATTAGTGGTGCAAAAGAATGTCGAGGGTTACCAAGTGGAAGCTTGAGAAGACCAAACTAAAAGTGGTCTTTCGGCTTCAATTTCATGCAACTCATGTATGTATATACGTTTCTTGATTTCAAGCCACTTCAGGATCTTTGGTTTTACAGATAAATTTCTTTTTCTGCTATACGTATCAGAAAATAGTCATAAATTGCTGTTTCTGTGAGAACTGCCTGGGTTTTGCTTGACAATTTCATTACATTGGTTACTAATTCAATTGCTCCATAGTGTCTATTCTGGTTATATAAACATGCACCCAGTCCATGCAACTTAGAAGCAATACATCAATGTTTACTTAAGTTTCTGCTCCTCAACTTGGGAAACTCAGGGAGTGGTGAACTTGTTGATAGTAATTGAAATTGAAAAGATTTGACTGGAATGTAGTATGCACTCTCTTTGCATAGTCCTATTTTAGGATCAGATGTGTAGCTACTACTGACAAACTAGACTTATTTGAGTCTTGTAACAATGCAAAGATCTTGACCACTTCTCAGGTGATGGATTAGGTTAATTAACTTTAGCTATTATGGAACATTTATAATTTATTGGTAGCTGTTAATGTTGTAGAGCACATAGCATCTAAGGAGATGAGTCTAGAGGTTACTTATTATATTGGCGACAGTTAATTGCAGCTATCTGGCTTTCAAATCTTTGACACAAGTCCAAGTTGTCATAGAAATTTCCACTAACCTCCAAGAATTTGTTGAACTATTTTCTCTCATTTTCCCCATTTTCTTGGGTTGATAATGCATGTCCTACCATCCAGTCAAATCGGCAGTCTTAGAAACTCTGTTAGATATAGTCTAGTCCGTTCGAAGTGTACATTATGGGGACAATGCAGACAACAGAAAACAGGAAACAGCAAACATCACAAATGTACACATGTATAGGGTCTTTCTAAATAATAGGGTAAACTGTTATCACGAATAAAGGGTGCTTTCTATATAGTCACGAACCTGGTCGAGTGTACTTTCTATATTTACTGAAATTGAAACAGAAAACTGGGTGTCACCAGGGGAGTTGTGGCGGCATAAATAATAGTTGATTGGTCAAGTATTTTCAAAAGATTGTGTCTTCAAAATGCCAGATAAAGTTATAATCTGAATAAAATGAAAAGAAAATAACACATCACTTGGGAGTGCTCAGAGTTGTACTTAGTACTTTTTGGAAGTTTACTTTGCGACAGTGATGTAATAGTGGAACTTGGATAAGACTAACAATGCCAACACCAGACATCTATTCACCAATGTATTTACCAGTGGTGTCTCAATGAGTTCCTCTTAATTTGCTTAGCTACATCTATATAGGTTTACATATTCACAGTGGAAAAAAAACATGGAAATCCGTTGTATGTTGCAAATCCTTTTGGAGAAGGTTATTATTTGGAGTAAGTTGTTTGTTTTTACTAATTAGCTCAGTCTTAAGACTACTGCTTTCATTGTTTGTTTTTACCGATTAGCACTGTTAGAGGAAGGTACTAAACAATCATGTTGAAATGCTGCACAAATTCTCTCCCCTTCCTTTTTTGACAAATGCCCCAAAAACATTGATCTCCAGCTGAATTAAGCTACGTCATACTGTTATAATGTTATTTGGTAAAGCCGGCAATCCATACATATTTCTCAAAAGTTTTAATAGTCACAAAATAGATGGGTATTTATTTGGAGGATGTGTTTGAGTTCTCGCACCATTCATCTACCTGGTGGTCCATGTTGGGCATATATCTTTTCAGTGGAAACTCCTCAAGATGACACCCTTTTGCTTGTATAATGGAATAGCTTTTAAGATAGAATTTTGAACATAATGCTGTGTTCTATGTGCCATTTAGATGCGTAGTATCAGAAGTCATCACAAACTAGGGGATGATCCTTTTTGATACCTGGACTAGTAAAAATTCTCTTCCAGTGTTATTTAGGGACTTTGGCTGAATGTATTTCTTAAACCTGTCAATCTCTTTTGCATTTATTTGTCTGATGTAGAGTATCGATAGTTTATTCTTCTTTTTGATGTTCCAGTTCCTTCAATGTGATTATTTAATATGTTATTCATCCTTCTGATATTACAGATTCCACAAAGTGGATGGGATAAGTTATTTATATCTTTTATCCCGGCAGACTCAGGAAAGGCAACTGCTAAGACCACAAAAGCGAATGTCAGAAATGGCACATGTAAATGGGCAGATCCTATTTACGAAACTACCAGGCTCCTACAGGATGCTAAAACCAAACATTATGATGAGAAGCTGTACAAACTTGTTGTGTCCATGGTAGTGGCTCTGATTTGTTTACTTAATTCTAAAGGCGAAGATGTATTTTCAGATATGTGAACACCAATTTTCTGGTTGCAGGGTTCTTCACGAGCTAGCATCCTTGGTGAGGCTATGATAAACCTTGCTGATTATGCTGATGCATTGAAGCCTTCTGTAGCTGTGTTACCTCTTCATGGATGCAGTACTGGAACAACATTACATGTAAGAGAAATATATTATTCCATTGTAGGTCCAAGAAATGCCAAATCTTGAACATGCTCTGTAGAGCAGAACATCTTTAAGTGAACTAATTTTGGAATTTAAGGTCTATTGGATGGTATAAACAATTGTGATGATGAACATAAGCAGCGTGTGATAGTAAACTTTTGCAGTCGTAATTATCCCTAACTTATACTCTTGTATTCTGCCATAAATTTAGGAGGTCTGTGTCTTTTTTGTGTGAGTGTGCCTAAACCAAAGATCGAACAATGGAAAGGCAAGATGAGCATGTGTCAAATATTGTCTTATTCTCTTTTTCTTTAAAATTGTGTGTGACTATAATCTTAAGGAAAACACATTTATGACTGCGAAGATCTTCTCTGGAGTAAATTTGTCTATTAGAGACCAAATATACTTTGAACAGAAGGTTTTAGCTTCAATCAAATGTATGGAATCGGTTGAGAATAATGGTAGACCGCAGATTTGCTGATCAAGACTATAGCATGTCATAACATGAAAAATTTCCATGTTCATCTGTTTAAGTTTAGTTTTTGTCCTTCCTAATATGCCTATTTCAATACATTTGGTCTGTAGGCGATCAATAATATCAGGTTAGTCTTAGCAGGCAAATTTGATTTGGAAGGTTGTAGTCGTTGCTGTTTATGAACTACATAGTGCTTTTCTTTCCCTTCTTGGTTTGTTGTGATCACATTACAAGGCTTGGACATCAGAGAGATACTTCCGTTGAGTGACTTTTAGTCTCTGGTTCTATCCTAACCATGTTCACCTTATATTTTAGAATCAAATGAAGCTCAACTGTCTTTATAACTAGATATTGTAAATTAAACTACATTGGTTAATGGGTTAATGAAGCCGTGACTAGAATGCATCCGTTGTTGCCATTTACAGCCAACAAGTGGATTTGGCATTGTTTCTCCTCCATTTATTCCTTGTTTTGGTCTAAAAAGCTGTCAATAATCATCTGCTCTGTACTGATTTGACTACATGTTTGATATCAGCATACATTTTTGGGTACTGATTTGGCTACTTGTTTGATATCAGGTCACTGTGCAGCTTCTTACTTCTAAAACTGGGTTCAGGTAAAGCATCATTTGAATTGTTGCATGTATGGTTTCTTGGGAAGCTAATGAAAAGCAAGCATACCTGCAGAGAGTTTGAGCAGCAGAGGGAAACCAGAGAGAAGGGCTTGCAAACTGGTGATAAGCACGACGAGAGTAGTCTTGCCAAGTCAGATAATACAACTGAAAATGTGGATAAGGTTTTATGCTCTTTTCCATTCTTGTGACTGCTGCTTTATAATTTACATTGATGCCTACTGTTCTTGATTTTATAGGTGCCCTAAATGCCTTCTGACCCTGATGTTCATAATCTGTAATTAAATGTGGTCCATAGTGAGTATGTTCAGGGCGTTGACTGGTGCTTATGCTGTATTATCATCTTCTTTCTTATCAAGGGGAGGTCATGCATAAAAAATTATGTTTACTAGTTTTGCAGATTCATTTGTAATTTTTGATGGTCATAATGTGGATCACTCCCTTTACAAGCCATTGGCATAATTGAAAATTTTGTTCTCCATATAATTATATCCATGATAATTATGATTGTATTTCAGGTTCATTTGCTTTTATGTTTCTGTTGTTGATGCTGTGGAAAATGTATGCAATGATAAAGCTAAACCTATGGTCACATCGTCATGCTCAGGAGCATATTTCACTCGTGTTGTTCGGAACCCATTATTTTGAATCCCTTTCATAGGTCTTATCCTTTCCCTTTTCATTTGAGTTGATCGTCAAGTTCCTGCACATGCTACTTCTGCACCCAAATATCTCCCATGCACATATATAGAAGTGTTTATATCATTTTCACATCATTATTATTTTCACTTAGTCTTGTTTTGCAATTATTTTATCTTGTTTTATATGCAGATTGGTGCAAGGATCAGATCCAGATCAGATGCTAGGGAGCTTTCTTCAGTGGAAGAAGAAACTGGAAATGAAGAATCCGGAGACTTGGCTGTCGGTTTTGATGGCTCATCAAATACATCAGGAAGTTTATATGCAGAAAAGATTGATTCCTCCAGCGCGCATGAAATTGATAGCCTGAAGAGTACATTTTCCGGTGATACAAATGGTGGTTTGCAGTATCAAAATCCACAGATGCAGAAAGTGGATCCTTCTGACAGTCACAATATTGTGGGACTTGGGATTCGTGATTCAGTTCAGGGATGGTGTTCAGCCTACCCCATGAATAATGACTTGGCAATGGCGTATGATGAGAATAACAGGCTCAGAGGCAACTTGGATTTTACAGAATTATCTATTTTTGATCTTAAGCTAGAGCTAAGCTCTTTGCAAAGCCAAGCTGATGAAATAGGTATTCAAACACAGAAGTTTTCCCATGTACTTGCCACTGAGATTTCTTCATATCAAGACCTGTCATCAGAGGTTGCTTTCCTGAAGTCAGAATGTTATAAATACAAAGATGAAATTGAAAGGCTTAGAAATTTAAAAGTAAGCCATCAAATTGCCAATAGTGGTCATTTTCGGCATCATCACCTGCTCCAGGACATACAGGTTCAGTGGATGAAAGGAATCGTAGTTGTGGAGGACATGACTAGAGAACTTCAAAGCAAGGTGTATCTTGGTTTACATGAAAGAGACTCTCCGTTTCTTCATGCGGAGTTTGAGGCATTGTTAAATACTTTGCAAGATCTCAAACGTGGAACAGGGGAAGCAATTTCCTTGTTTAATGTGGTCTCTGCTGAGAAGACTGACTTGAAAGAAATAAGAGAAACTTCTCCACACAGGGTTGATCAATTTGGATCTGGAACAGGGCTTGAACTTGAAGTATGTGAGCCTGAAATACTGCTTCGCAATTTCAGCATTCCACCACTCGTTTCTCAAGAAACGGATTCTATAGGTACTATTGATACCATGAAAAAGCACATTGTGGATCTTGTAAGAGAGCTAGATGGGGCTAAAACTGAGAAGGAAAGTCTCACAAGAAAAATGGGACAGATGGAATGCTACTATGAAGCTCTTATTCAAGAGCTTGAAGAAAATCAGAAGCAAATGCTGATAGAGTTACAAAATATCCGGAATGAGCATTCTACGTGCTTTTATACACTTTCAACCAATAAGGCCGAAATGGAATCAATGCGCCAGGATATGAATGAGCAGATTTTACGTCTTGCAGACGAGCGCCATGATTTGGATGCTCTCAACAAGGAGCTTGAGCGAAGGGCTACTACCTCAGAAGCAGCTCTGAGAAGAGCTCGCTTGAACTATTCTATTGCAGTAGGTAAATTGCAAAATGATCTGGAGCTGCTTTCCTCACAAGTAGTGTCCATGTTTGAGACTAATGAGAATCTTATCAAGCAAGCTTTTTCAGAAACTTCCCAGCCTCCTTTTCTGGGATATATGGATCAAATGCATAATCTTGAACTGTCTGATGCTACAAGGGTCCAGCAGAGTATGAATCAAAATGTGGGTCCACGAAAACAACAAGGTGGAGATGTTCTTCGTCTAGAGGACTTGAAAAGATCACTCTCTCTGCAGGAAGACCTTTATCGGAAGGTTGAAGAAGAGCTTGTGGAAATGCATTGTGCAAACTTACAACTGGATATATTCTCAAGGACTCTTAAGGAAGCATTAAGTGAGGCTATATCTGACATGAAGCTACTCAGAATAGGTATGGATGAACTGGGGGAGAATTTGAGTGTTTCAAATACATCCAAGGATCTGTTGATGGGAAAGCTGCAGGATGCAATTGATGATATTCATATTCTCAGCGAGTACAAGATCAGTTGCACTGCTGAAAATAATGATCTGGCCATGCAGAATGAGTTTTTAAAATCCAAATTAGAAAACATTTCAGTGGAAAATTCGTTGCTTTTGGAGAAGGTTGCTGATTGGGAAGCAATTACAATGGAATGCAGAAATTACGAGAGCCGTTATGAGCTTTGTTTGGCTGAGAAAAATGAGCTATCAGTTCTACTGGAGCAGGAAGCTTCCGTATCTAGCAAGCTTCAAAATGAGAATTCTCTTCTCAACCAAGAGTTGGCAACTACCAAAGGTGAACTTTCTGAACTGAAGTCTCTCAAAGAAAATCTAGAGGGAACTGTCAGTTTTGTAGAAGAGAAACTGGGTAATCTATTGGCCTTTTGTGATGAAACTCTGACAGGGCTTTCTCTATCTCATGAGAGACAGGTCCCTTTGGCAAAGACAAAAAGTTGCAAAGATGTCGTCTTGCTATTTGAAGAGATCCAGCATACTTCTTGTTCCAAGATTCTCCAATTAATGGAGGAGAATAGCAGTCTAGAAAAGGAGAGGCAAAACGCTGTTATGTCCTTGAGTGCTACAAAATCTGAATTTCTGGCAGTAAAGCAGATGTTCAAAAATAATATACAGGATATGGTGTTTAAGTTGGATGTCTCTAATGCTGTGGTGGAAAATCTTCAAGTTAAATTTGAAACCTTCTCTAATAGAATGCTCAGTAGTTCTGAAGCTGAAGAAAAATTTATTGAGCAACAGAGAGAGCTATTGGCTGATCTTGATTTTTTGGAACATGAGCTTCATAATCTGATGTCTAAAGATGGACATCTAGTTCAGGGGATCTTGAGTATGGAGGATTTGGCTGCTGAATGTGGAAGGAGTTCATCAGTCATTTCTGATCTCGCCCAAGAGAATCAAGACTTGGTCGTCGCCTTGCAGGATAAAACTTTGGAATCTGCCAAGTTTGCATCTGAAGTTAGCCTTTTAAAAGAAAATGTGGGAAGTTTGCACATTGAGTTGGATGCTGAGAGACATCTGAGAAACAAGTTGGAGAGCAGAGTTGGGGATCTTACTTCTCAATTGAACCAAGAGCAAGATAAGTTGCTTGAGTTTACCCAGCAACAAGCTGAACTGGTGCGTCTGACTGAGGAGTATGAAAGGAGTACTTCAACCATTTCTGCTCTAATACGAGAGAAGCAAGAGTTGGTCATCACTTTACAGGATAAAACTGTGGAATCAGCCAAGCTTGCATCTGAAGTTAGCCTTCTAAAAGAAGATCTGGGAAGTGTGAACAATGAGTTGAATGCTGAGAGAGATCTAAAAAGCAAGCTGGCAAGTAAAGTTGGAGATCTTACTCATCAGTTGAATAGAGAACAAGATAAATTGCTTGAGTTTACTGAGCTAAAAGCTGAGCTGGATAGTCTGAAGCAGCTGGTTGCAGACCTAGAGTTGGAGAACTCTAGGCTTTCGCATCTTTTGTTTCAGTGCGAGAAAAAGCTTCATGAGCAGTCCTCTTGTATGAATGGTATTGAAAATGACTTGTCAGATATGCATGAATCTTTAATTTCTGCTGATGTTACCGTTGTTTTTCTAATAAGCATGCACAAGAGCAGAATGGAGGAACTAGGGCAGCGAGTTAGATCTTCTGATCATGGTTTCAGTGAGCTTCTGAGGAAGTATCATGATCTGGAAAAATTGTTGCAAGTTTCTCTTGTTAAGGAATCTTGTTTCACTAAAGAGAAAATGCATTTTGCTGAAATAAATGAATCGCTAAGATCAGATTTGGAAGCCTCTGCTACCCATAACAGATTTCTTTCAAACGAGAATAGTGCTATCAGGGCTCAACTTGAGGAATACAGGATGAAGCTTAAAAATCTGGAGGCCAAGATGTCAAAGGATAAAGAGCAGTATACGCTTGAGCTGGAATATTTGGAAGACAAACTGAAAAATGCAGAAGAAGAGACCCTGAGTTTAATTTGTGCCAAGGAACAATTGGAAATCACCGTTCTCGTTCTGAAGGACAAATTAGATGAACAGTTTTCTTGTGTTAGTGTGCTGGAAGCATGTCAACATGAGCTTACAAAAATGTGTGCCGCTAATTCTGAACTTTCAGATAAGCTCTCTCAGCATGTTTTGAAGTCTGAAGAAGTCAGGAACATCTCTATGCTCAATGAAAAGGCTTTCAATGTTTGTGATTTGAAGGTTGGAACACCAGAGGACAAAGATCAGCGTGCCTTTGAGATGGAGCATTTAAGGAGCAAACTGGAAAATGCTGAAGAAGAAGCAAACAATCTGACATTGAATGACATACAGTTGGATATCCTAACTATATTTTTAAGGAACAAGTTAGATGAACAACTTACTTGTGCAAGGTTGATAGAAGAACGTGAGAGTGAGCTGATGGCTTTACGTGCTGCTAATGATGAGCTTTCAGACAAGCTCACTAAGCAGGCCTTGAAAACTGAGGAACTAAAGAACTTGTCTATCCGTTTGAAGGAGCTCAAAGACAAGGCTGAGGCTGAATGTGTTATTTCTAAGGAAAACCGAGAAGCTCAAGAACCTCCTGTTGCCTTACAAGAATCTTTGCGCATGGCCTTCATCAAGGAGCAGTATGAGACCAAGATCCAAGAGCTGAAGCAACAAGTTGCCATCTCCAAAAGACATGGCGAGGAGATGCTAATGAAATTACAAGATGCTGTAGATGAGATTGAAAATAGGAAAAGGTCTGAAGCTTTGTATTCAAAGAAAAATGAAGAACTGGCACTCAAACTTTTGGCATTAGATGATGAACTGCAGTCAGTGCTTTCTGATAGCCGGGAAAAGGCCAAAGCCTGTGACCGAATGAAGGCAGAGCTGGAATGTGCACTCCTAAGCTTTGAATGTTGCAAGGAAGAAAAGGAAAAACTTCAGATTGCTCTGCAACAGAGTGAGAAGGAAAATAGTAGAATCTCTGCTGAACTTGTTTTGACAAAACAACAGGCAGAGGGTGTTGGGTCTTTGGAAATTGCTTCAGAGGAAGAATTAATTTCGATGAAAAGAGTTGATCTTCTGCACAATGATCACTCCAGAGATTCCTTCCCAAATCCTGCTTGCCATGAGAATTTGTTGTACCAGGAAGCAGAAGACCTGAATCTGGCATTAAATACCCGAACTATTCAGGTAGTTTCCTAGAACAATTATCTTGATTCTAGTAAATGTTATCTGAATTTTACTGCAAAAAAATCTGGCTGTGTGTTTTAAAGTATCTTTCAATCACTCCTAATTTTTTTAGAAGATTCCATTTAGTTTTCCTGGATGCATGAGATATTTCAATGTGGTTGTTGTTGAATTGAATAAATGGGTGGAGTTCTGGTTTTCCTTCTGTTTCGTTGAGACCTACATATTCTTTATGTAATGTATTGGTAGTTTACAAACTTGAAAATATTTATCCGTTCATAGTGAAGTTTGTACTTTTGCTTTTCGCTTCTTAGTAGTATTCTACTTTGACTGTAAGTGGGAAATTACTTATGTGCTAAAAGTTTCTGTTGTTTAGGATGATTCAGTGGAAAAAGATGTGTGTGCAACTCCAGAACATGCAGTTCCTGAAGCGGTCTCACCGCCAGAACATGTTGAGCAGAACAGTTACCTTCTTCACACTGCTAGCTTAAGGTCCAGCATTAATCATCTGCATGAAGAGGTAAGATGCAAGTAAATAAATCCAAACTTTCTGGATAAGATAAGGAAATTTCTGAATAAGACAGGAGCATGTATTTCTCATTTTCCTTGCAGTTAGAAAGAATGAAGAAAGAGAATTCCCTGTTTCCTGATGATGTCCATTTTGACTCGGACTGCCATGATCTGCAGAATGAGCTCATGCGCTTGGAAAAGGTCAGTGTCAACAGTAATTCTTATGCAGTTATTATGATATATGAAAATTTACTGTATATTTGGGAATTTTTTAAAATTTATGCCCTAACTTGTGTCCTTGTATATCTTTGATGAAGGCCAATGCGGAACTGAGAAGCATCTTTCCTTTGTATAATGAAATTTCAACTGGTGGAAATGCCCTGGAAAGGGTACTTGCTCTGGAAATTGAGCTTGCTGAAGCGCTGAGAGCAAAACATAAATCCCAACTTAATTTCCAAAGGTAGGAATTTGAAATGTTTTGTTAGTCACTTGTGGTTGGGTAATGAAAGAACAAAATTAATCCTTTTATTGATTATTATTTTATTTTCTAAACTTGGATTTTGAGCTCATTCTGTTGATTAAAATGAATTTTTCTTATGTAGCTTGTTGTCTCAATACGACCTGTGTTCTCTCTGTGAGCCTTTCCATCTCCGTTTCCCTGTCTATGTTCTTTATCTTGTAATTTTGTAGCACGTGATCAAATGTTGGTTAGCTCGGACCTAAAGCACTCGACACTCAATTAGTATTCTCTGAAGTAATATGTTTAGTTAGAGAAACTATTTGCTAGCTTAGGAAAATCTGTAGCATATTTCTATTAACAATCAGAGAGTGCAAAATTTGTGTTGGAGTTAACTAGGTTTCAGAAGCATTGAGGATCATTTAGTGATTTAACTCTGGGTAGATTTCTTTTTCCTTTTATTTACTGGTCCGTCTTGCTTTGGGATAGAGATCCAGAGATCCAAGGTTTTCCTCTTTGAAAAGGTGTGTTCCACGTATAAACTTTTAACTGCTTTTTACTTGATTTGTGCAGTTCTTTCATAAAACAACATAGTGATGAGGAAGCTATACTGAAAAGTTTTAGAGATATCAATGAGCTGATCAAAGAATTGTTAGAAGTGAAAGGAAGATATGCAGCTGTGGAAGCTGAATTGAAAGATATGCATGACCGTTACTCGGATCTAAGCCTCAAGTTTGCCGAGGTTGAAGGCGATAGACAAAAGATCAAGATGACCCTGAAAAATGTTCGAGCATCCAGAAAAGTTTTGCATCTGAATAGGTCATCATCAACCACTAGTGCAGATGTTTCATCCTAAGGTACATCAGATGCTCTCGGCTTCACCTGAAAAAGTAATGATCGCAAAGCTTTAGCAGGTTAACTGGGCTTTCCCATATGCAGTCTCATGAGTCATGATACATGTTTCTCAGACCAGTGCTTGCTGGTGAGCTCTGCTGGAATTAGTCACAGCACCAGAAAGTGAAGAGCAGTGTAGAATCGTATTCTGTACATAGAAGATCTCCTATCGAATTTTGTCATCCCGGCCTAATTTACAGAGAGGTGTATCTGTAGTCTTGACATTTCGCCTCTACTTATGTTATATTTATGCTTTGAACCTTCCCATTGTAATTCATGTACAGTAATTAATTCATTTGTTATAGAAACTTGTCTAGTTAGAATGATCTTCGAATTTCTCCATTCTGATCCATTTGATTCACGATAACAAGCTCATATCTAGCAAGGACGTGAAACATAGTGAGATTGCAAACGTGTACTATTTATCTTGTTTAACCCCTTTGAAAAATCATCATCAGTACAGTAAAATATCAAATCCAACTGAAACAAACAACTCAAGAGATTCTTTACAAACGTTTTCCATTTTGCTCTTTCAACTTTTCTCCTGTTCCTTTTGCACCCCATGTAGCTTATAATCCATAAGAAACACCCCCAGTTGAGCTGTATTTTTGCCTATTGCAAAAATTTAACAAGTAATCCTGACAACAATCCATGCATCAGACTCCAGTAGAGGTCCTCTAAACATGGTGACAATAAAATCTTGTTGAGTATCCCAAAATCCTACACATAACATTGCGGAGTGGAAACTTTTGGGGATGAACAGAAACAGGAACTGTAAGCTGCATTTGTATTTTCTGTACTATAGGATCGTGCATCCACAACCGCCTTTCTTGGCAGCATCATCCTGTGGTTTATCTGCAATGAATACATTATATCAGTCACATTCAGCTAACAACTAGTTCTCCAACCATGCTCAACTACAGAAGGGCGAAGAAATGCCCTTCTTGAAACCATTTTAAAGGGCACAAAGGTGCAGCGTTGTCTTACAAAGTAGAAAAAACTACAACTCCCATCTCAACTGAAGATTTCAGTTTTGGGAAAATACAACTCACTGATGAGTTTTGAAAGGCAACGTGTTACATAAAATTATTACTGAATTCTTCCCTCTTATACCATACTTTTTCATTGTGGACCACTTACGTAGAATATTAATAAAGGTACAAAGCAATTAAAATATGACTCTTCCACAGGCACATGAAAACATTTTGAAACATAACTCTTACACTGGCAATGAAGTAATAAGAATGAGGACAAGGAAACAGAATACTCTTTATCAAGAATCGAGAATGCAGCCAAATCAGTAGATACTCAGTTATTTACAGAGCAATATAGGATTCTTTGGGTAAGAAATGCAGCTGATAATATCTTTAGCCGACATTTAAGAGAATGAACAACAGGATAAGTCCATGAACTATTTCAGGGATCGATGTACCTTAATTTGGTTCAAATCTCAAATAGCGATAAAACTAACATAACATAAATACAAATTGCTTAAAATCCCAATCTCAATGCGTGAGTAAATTTTCTTCAATACTCAAGTCCAAAACTTGAAGTACATTCTTCAGTAGCTATAACTATATGCATGTTTAAGAAACTTTCAACAGTGAACCAGATGAAAACAGGTATGAAGTTTATGAAATCATAGTCTGCTAAATTACCAGTGTTCTTCTCAGATAAAGGAGGACGAACAACAACATGCATGGTGATGACACCTCCAGGGACTTCAGCAACTGGAAGTCTTGATTCAGCCAGAGTTTTGTTATTTTCCAGTATCCTTCCAGCATTGATGAGCTTAAGATCATTTATAGTCCTCGGTCCATTTTCTTTCTCTGCCAATCAGAAAGTGTATGAGCAAAATATATAATAGTAGTGAAATTTCAAATTAACTGGAAAAGAAACTGGGGTCTGAAAGAAAGTGAATCAGTCACAACATCAAAGACAACATCATATGGCATTCTGCAGAATATAGAAAGAAACAAAACAGCACATAATCGTCATTGTATCCGTAAAAAGCATTCCATAATTCTCGCTAAACGTTTAATAGACCTGGGAAAGGTGACAGGTTCAGTAATTACTCTCAAACCATAACAAATCAGCGTACTAAATGATCAACAGAAAACTTGCAAATGAGAGTGGACTGAAACACTGAGCATCTGTGAGCTTGTAATGCTGGTTCTTTCACATATAAAAGTATGTCACATGAAAGTGCAGCAAAAACAAATGGGCATACATTGCCTCTTGATACTAGCACACAGCTTGCTTACACAGTAAAGCAATTGAAATTTCAGTCTTGTTCACCTTACAAAGTTTACAGAATCAGTAAATGCAAAAGCCAACTCCTTGTATTACCCTAGTTTACAGAATCAGGATAGTAGAGTAAGTCCACTAATTCAAGGAAAGGATAATGATTCCAGTGACAGATCTTGACATAAAGCTGAGATGCCCAGAAATAAAAATTCTCTTAACTAGATTACTAGCAAATATGTATTCAATTCAAACAAAAACATAAGGCAAAGAATCCTCAAATATCACATCATTAAGACCCAAAAGAATGAAAGAGTGCGGCGAGAAGAACAAACAGATAAACCCTACTCCTAGATGCGTCTTTCATAGTTCTTGCATAAAACTGGTGGAGCATAAGACACAAAACGAGACCGGAACATAGGCTCTATCGTTATCAAGCTACAATCCCTACTACTGTCATAAACAACATTTCAAGAACTTGAAAAAAATTGACAGAACGAAGCAAATTCAAACAATAGAGAACATAACTGGAATGATTATATCCAAACGGCTCAAATCTAATCTTCATTTGCAAAAAGAAAAAAAAAGACCCAGAAAAATCTAGTAATTACTACCTTTGGGCCAAAGCGCAATTATCTTTTCTTTGAGAGATCCCACCGTCGTAGAAGGAATGAACTTGCTGGGTCCAATATCGCTGCCATCAGCAAGCCTGAATTTGATCTCGACCAAATCTTCCACAGCCATCAAACAACTTCACCGCATTAAACCAAGCTCAAAGCTCAAAAAACACAAAAAACCCCACGATTCAAATCCAATCCAGCTCCTCAAGAGAAGCAAAATAGAGGTAAACCTTTCTAGATGTCCTAAGTTCAAGAAACAAGAAACTAGAACAAACACTAAAACCCCCAAATCAACCACAAAAACCAGCTCTAATTTCGCAAACTATGGGCCCAAAAAGACAACTCCTTTACTACTCTTTTCGGTTACAGATAATACTCAACGATGGAAATTTTCCCAAATTACGCAGAACCCAGATCAAGATTCTACGAACTCTTGCCAAACTAATACAGGAAAGAAACGAAAAAAAAAAAATCAATCCCACCAAATTTTTCCCCTTCAAGGTCAAATAGACGGTGAGCAAAGAAGAAAAGGGATTTTCAGCTAGGACCACGAAGATTAAACTCGCAGGCTAAATCTACAGGGGTTTTTTTGTTTAATTTTTTCCCCACAAACTGACAGCTGAACAAGGAAGATTGTGGAGAGGGATAGATCATTAACAGTTAATACGCGTAAAATGGAAGTATGAGAAACTTCTTGCTAAGTCCTTTGGGTTGTTCTCCAATGGCTTGATGTGGAAAAGAAAGAATATATTTGTAGAAAGAATTTTTAGGAGTAAAGCTTTCGAACGTAAATCCAATAAATTTATATATAAGCAGTAAAAAAAGAAAAGAAAAAAGAAAATAATACTAATAAAAGATAAAAAACAGTCCATTTCGTCCCAATTAGACAGATAAATTTTTTTCCCCTCTTCCTTTACTTTTTATCAGATATTTAGGCAAAATTTTTTTTATATATTTTAATTAATGATTAAGAATTGATGGTATTTTTTTTAGAGTACTAATGGTTTTATTCTTCAAGTTCAAATGAAGGTGAAATATTCCTTTCATCACATTTTACTAATTAATTTTATTAAATAATTTTATATAATGAAGTGAGCACAAAGGAAAGAAAAAAAAAGTATATTTAACTACTTAAAATTTCAGTTCTTTTATTGAATTAAAAGGGAAAAAAAAAAAAAAAAAAGATGCCCCTATCGAATTGAGACGGGCGGTGTCTTACGTTAATAATTAGGGAAAATGACCATTTTCTTTTTTTGTCCTTATTTCCCATGGTTTTGATTATCCCTCTACGTTTTGTCCGTCTTTCTCTTTCTATTTTACTTTAATTTCACAAAAAGAAAAGTCCCTTTTTTTATTTGCTTGCTTGTTCAAAAACCACCATGACTGAATCATTTGATTGACCATTTTTTTCTCCAATATATATATATATATATATATATATATACTACAATAACTTTTCAATCTACCGAATAAATTTTTTATTCTTCCTATCTTAATTGTAAGACACAATTTTCGTTCAACATTTTATAATTTCTATGTTAAGGTTAACTTTAAAAGTAAAATATGTTTCATGTATCTTGATTCGACAACTATGATTTTGATTGTAAGTTGTGGAGAATGTCCCAATTTTTGAACAGAATGCAGCCTTCAAGCCAGCAATGGCTGCTATGATAATTTGACCCGTCCTAACTATCACTGTAACTTGACCTTTTCTAATCAAATTGGCTGTTCACCAAATTTGGACTAAATAAGAATCATTCAAGATACAACAACAATACCTTAAAAGATTCATTCATTTGGTACTTGCGTCATCGATTGGCCATTAAAAACTTGCAATTTGCACCCTATTGTGTAAAGTAGTTGTTCATCTGATTGGTAATTGTTTAATGCCAGTAATATTAGTATTACAATAGTGTTAGTCCTAATCTTAATATAAAGAGGCAATTGGCTGTTTGATTATGAAATTTCGAGCTTCCAATCATTATATGGTCAACGTTGTCAAGTGTTACCGAGTTAAATATGATAGCATTAGTATATTTGTTACGACTCTTTGGTAACTCAGACCAAGTTTGATTCGCTATTGATATGATTCTGTGACCATAATAATTGATATAGCTTCAAAATTTAGTTAGTAGACAACTGTGAAATTAACCATTACGAAAAATCCACAAGAATAGAAATACCTGACTCGTATTCTTTTCTATTTGCATTTTAAAAACTACATCTTTTAATCAGATCGTATTTGGAAAAAAAAACATAAAAAATTGTGAATTGTGCTTGATGTTTGTGTGTCGAGTCTAATATCAAAGGTATCTCCGAGTCTGTAATAATTATTAAATTACAAACAAATAAAAGCTTAAAGTAAAGGGGTAGTAATTTGTGAATTTTTCTTTACAGGTTGAAGCAATAAGCATAACCTGTAAAGGGAGTACAAATGTGTCGATTTCTGTCAAACCATCAGAAAGCTTTAGGTTTACTTTTAAGGTCCAATTGTTCCAAAAATATCTGTGTGTCGTTTTTTCCCCAAAGCCAAAGCCAAAACATTTTAATGGCATTACTTTTCTCATAGTTATCACAAAACAAGCAATTTGGGAGGCGGGATAAAAACAAGTAGGAAGAAAAGTAAATAGGGGATTTACTCTTTGAAAATTTGATAAAGGTTTTGGTTTCTGTCTCCTTTCTCAAATTTATTCATGTACAAGCAGTGTTTTATTCGACTACATTCCAACACTTATTAATTTCAGTAATAAGGAAAGGAAAAAAAAAATACTATGAACTCGAACAACAATGTCTAGAGACTCTTAATCACTTGAATGAGGTTTAATTTGTTCCAATTTTTATTTTTAAAAAGATATATATTGACACTAATTAGGTTGCTTTTGCGATGATATGGGAAAACCCTATATACCTTGAACACGTGTCTTTTTGATTAACCAGGTCCTAGACCTTGTAATGCATAACAACAATCAAAAGTATATCCATCGCCCAACATTTGCATAAGACGTAAAACAAAACGTGGCATCCACGGATTATTGAAAATACATATAGTACTCCATATAATTTATTTGACTAACAACAATAATTGTCCCCTCAATAGTTCAAACCATGGTTTTACAGCTATTGCATTCTTTAGCTGTATCGGGTAAGATGATACAGCTTCAATTCTTGATATATATTGAGCAATGCTTTTAACTATGTTTATCTTAGACTGTGGATGTAATCACAGTCATATGGTCTAAAACTTCATCCGTCCCAAAATTATTGTTTAGTGGAACAAAGGAAGTATCAAAAAAAATTTACAATAGTGCAAAATACGTTCCCAATAATGTTTAAGTTCAGTAAAACAGAATGCCCCTACAATAATAATAATCAGTTCACCTCCAAAATATTGCGATAATTCATAGCCCTGCTAACTATAGATGAAGGGCAGCTTCTTCTTTTGCTCTCTTTCTGCATCTAAAAAGAGAGTTGGATCTTTATTCATTCTTATTGCTTTTTCCCCCATTTTCTTCATCACTTTCTTAAAATCAAAGGGAAGAAAAGGAAAAGACTGAGGAATGACGCTTTTGCATTTATACCATTCACTTTATATATTCCAAATATTAAAAAAAAAAAAAATTGGTTGGATACTACAAATCCTCTCATAAACCCTTTTTTTATCATGTTATTTGATTCCCAGGTGCTTTTACAACTTTGTCATAAAACAAAGGAATGTTTCTACAAGCACTATGAGGTTCTAATTCTAATCGTCACATCACTTCCCTATCTGAACCATCTTCTTGTCAGTTGTCCCGGCTGCGAGACCTTCAACTAAGAGAAAGTTAAATAGTTGTTTAATCTAGATTAGGATTCCAACCAATGATTAGGTGGGAAAAAATATATTTCAGATGCTCAATTAAGCATAATCATTAGTAGCATAATGGAGCAGCAGATGCTCAGGTCTTAGCTGTATAGGAATAAATGACAATCATTATAGACTACAAACCACAAGTAATTTAATCAAAGAGGTTCCATCCAGGATTCTCGTCGAACTTGATGAAAATGTCACTAAGAAGAGTAGAGATACATGTGCAGAAAACTAAATCGATCGTTTCACCAGGATGCAAAGCTTTTAGGCTCTTGCTCAGTACAATCAGGAGTAAATTCTACACTGAAACCAAGCCATTGATCCCTTTCCTACAATTCAATCATGACATGTATACAAGTGAATCTCCATACATTGGGGATGTATCACCATGCTTTTCTTGGAAAAACAATGAGTGCATAGCCGGCAGAATATAAATGAATCTTTTCACAAAGAACAGAAAAACCATCAGAAGTGATAATGATTCAAATTTGACAAATTCACCCAGCATGCAACTTTTTCACTAGAGAGATACACTAATACACATACTCTGGATCTAACTTGGGTAGATCTCCATGGTTCCAAAGAAATAATTGCGGCATAAATCAAGTTAAAAGAAGCAAACTACAATAATTTTGTGCAGTTTTTTCGTTAATGTTTGGAGTGTAATATCCTATGATAAATTTAATAGAACAACTCTTACCAGTCTAAGCATCAAATTTCTGTTTCTCTTTTCAGAAAAAAATTCTGTTTCTCTGTGCTCTAGAAATATAATGAGTTCAGATTCAGTTGAGAACCTACAAGTGGAAGTAACAGGAAGAAAGTCCCTCAACCATATGAGCTATATCTGTTGTGGCACTGTAGATACCTGCAGTGAATAGCCTCACGTAGATATTTTGAGTAATCTTCACAGAAAGATGCTCCTAGAATTTTGCAAATTCAAAGCTAACACTTCTTGCATTATTCTACCAAATCCAAGAATCATCATGCCATGTCACCTAGAGCATTTGATTTCACACCATCATATATGTTATAAGCACAGGTAGCAAAACAGTCTACATAGTTACGTATGTAAGCATCTGCACTAAAGTATCAGATGTTTTTCGTAAAAAAGAACGTTAAAATGCAGAAAGATATAAAAGAGGTAAAACAAACAAAGACCAAAAGTTCAGCACTGCCTACATATAGAAAAAATTTCTCTCGTGTGAAAAGAACCAGACATGAAACTTTGAGGAGCAGTTGTGATGAAATTCATTATATGTTCCTATATCTTCAAAACT